CAATGACTGAGGATGGAGGGCTCCATAATAATGATTGAGGATGGAAGGCTCCATAACAATGATTCAGGATGGAAGGCTCCATAACAATGATTGAGGATGGAGGGCTCCATAACAATGACTGAGGATGGAGGGCTCCATAACAATAATTGAGATGGAGGGCTCCATAACAATGACTGAGGATGGAGGGCTCCATAACAATGACTGAGGATGGAGGGCTCCATAACAATAATTGAGGATGGAGGGCTCCATAATAATGATTGAGGATGGCTCCTGGTGTTTAGTTGCAGCTGCAATGTACATCCCCTCCCTCTTTTGCGCATTCCAGCTACAGTGATTCAGGTTGCAATTAAAAAACAGCCCATGAGAGTCACCAACTCTATTTTAAGTTGAGGGTCTGGGGTACAAGGTCATCATAAATGGCTCATCACATTTCCTTCCTGAGAGAAGCACTGTGTACGTCTGAACACATACCTGGAGGGATCACCCCCCCAAAAAGAGAAAACTTTAGAGAGAAAAATTCCAGTCTCTAGAGGATTGGTTTTTAGTTTTGAGTTTCATTTTTAGGGCCAAATGAACATCCCTTTGGGTTTTTGTACCTGCAAAAAAATTGTAAGTGCAAACAATGGAGCATGAGAGGAGTCAGGAGGCCTGGAGGAGTTTTCTCATCAGTAACACAAATAGATTATGTCTTTTCTATTGCCCACATCACAGAGGCATTATGGGAATTGATGAGATCAGTCCCATAAAGCCATGTAAAGGCCTTGGAAATAAGCCAGAGCCAAATATAAAAACATGTGGTTTTATGATGACAAACCATCTTTATTTAGTTCTCAAACAGCTGTTTACAAGTGCATTTGATTTATACTCATTACTGTAATTGTTTTTTTAATTTTTTAAAGCATATCAGATTTTTCTTTCTCTCCAGATTTGACCCTTTCTCTCTTCCCTTCATTTTTAAATGTACCCAACATGTTACACCATTGAAAACTAGAAAGTTCAGTCTGTGAAAGAAGGGTTTGTTTGAAGAGCTTCTGAGACCATTTTTGCCAATGGATACGCTGTCCCCCAAGGGAGGAACCAGCTTGCAACAGAGCCTTGCTGTTAGCCACAACCACCTTCAATGGGTCTTTTTTTTTTTACAGAGAGAGCAAATCAAAACTTGCTTGAAGCTCTCAATAGAGTCTCTGAACCCAAAGTAAAAAGTTGAAAAAGCCAATACAGCCACAGATGAAGTAAGTGCTAGTTAAAGCTCTGGGCTGGGGGAGGATATTAGAGAAAGCCCATGCAGCTGTTACCAGGTAAGACACTGACATAGCCATACCACGAACCGAGACACTCACAGGCCCCCTGCAACTGCAGGGACCTGAAGGCCAGTTTGCTCCCTGCGCTTCAAATGCAAATTCGATGGACAAATCATCGAGACAATGGCCATAAGGAGGAGCTTAAAGCTACAAGGCTTGACATTCACAAGGTCAGCTTCACTCTTTCCAACTGGGTAGCATTTCAGAGAGTTGGAATCTCTTTACTTAAGGCCGTGGAATAGAGCCTTTCACTTGCTTCTTGTAGGGATCTGCCCAGTAAGCTTTTGCGTATCATCCCAATTATCTCAAGGCATGGTGGTTGGATTAATGGAATTAAATAAAATTGCCCTGAAACCTACCTACTTGGCCTACGTGACTTAACTTGGCCTCATAGAGCAGCATGCAGAAATGCCTCATACCCAGGCTTGAGAGTTTTTTGTTTTTTGTTTTTTAATTCTTCAGGCTGGAAAGGCAGGGAGAGCTTAGCTAGCGCCGGCTGCATCAGGAACATCTCCAAGCAGTCACAGGGGGCTTCATCATAAATCAAATAACTGAGCTCAGATAAGGAAAAGACTTTGAGGAGAATTGATTGGTAGCCCAGAATAAAGGGGCAGATGGAAACTGACCTGTGGTCCTGACTCCCTGTCAAGGGGGGGTCGGAAAGCCCTGGGCTTATGCCTTGGGTTGGGATTGGCTGGTCGAGGGAGTGCCCAGGCTCGGATGCTTGGGGCTCCCTCCTGCAAAAACACAATATATAATAGAAAGTCTAAGCCAAAAAAAAAAAAGGTCAGTATTATGTACAACAGTGAGGAAGATGTATACGCTTTGAGGAAAAACAATGCAGATTTAACAAAGATACCACAGGCTGTCAATCAGCAAAGCACACGTCTTCATGTTGTACTCCTCAGGATAAGGGCATTCCATTGGTTTCCCTTACCACTTTCAGCAGAATCCTACTCTTCCAAATGAGGCCCTGTACAAGTCAAACTTAAGGAGATTCCCTCATTTGTGGAATGTGCCTAACTATGAGAGGAAAGTCCCACCTGATGCCTAACATTCTGTTCTTATTATATTCTATATTCTATATTCTATACCCAACTGATGTTACTATATCAAAAGTGAGGGGAAGGGGGCAGTATCCAATAAATCTGGAAAACACTAGCTATTTAAAGGTGTCAGTGGAATCCACGTGTAGCAAGATTGCCTAGGAACAAGTTTTTATCTCTTTGTTGAAATTGTTCAGATACAAAAGGGGTACATGAGATAATAAGCGATCAATTTCCAAAGGCTTGGTATTATTATTGTTATATTGTTATTATTTTTAAAGGGAAATATGTTGTTAAGTATATTGTTAAAGGGAAATAAATACAGGACCACATTTTGGAAAATCAATGAAAACTCTTTGAAATTTTACCAGTTGGTGTGTTTCTCACCTACAAAGATGACTCATGGCCAATTTCTCTTTTTACACTTGATGAACTCCCAGACAAAGTTTTTCAAAAGTTATTTGTGGCATCAGGTTGTTTTTTTTAACAAGGCTTTGGGAAATTTATAACCAAAGATAATCATGTGATTACTCTAGAAAAGCGTTATATTAACCCTACTTTATGCCTTTAGTACAGATAAAAAGTAAGTAACTCTTTGGTCCCCAAACCCATGGCTCTATTCTAATGTCACTGTCATCCCCTCCATTCCCAATTTTAGAGATCTTTAAGCCTTGTTATAGGAAATACATTTGGAAAATTAAAGAGTACATAAAGAAAATAATAGAGAAAAATTTGCCCTTTATCAATTTCACTCTAGGGAGCAACTGGATGAAACACAGCTAGGTAACTCTTAGCTTAGGTATTGTATTGTGTAGCCCCATGCAAAAAAACCAAACCAAACAACATTCCAAGAGGAGTTTATCAACAGTAAGACCTAAAGCACCCAAGTGCTTTGGGAGTGTGTAAGATAAACTCTCAGAGCTTGGGAGTTAATGGTGTCATTTTCTATTGCCATTCTGAATCATGCAATGGAATTACTTGAATTGCCCATTATTTCCCAGTGGATAATGAATCCTCTATATAAACTTTGACAAGTCACTTACAGACAATACCATTCAGCTTGGAAGATCCAAATTTCAGGGCAATGTTATTATACCTGGACTAAAAAAGGTAGGGTATGTGATGGAAATGCTAACATAAGTTTCTAGCAAGCAGTTAACAAAATACTTGATATTCAGGTTTTTTTTCCCCCAAAAACAAAATCAACCAAAAAAAAATCATTAGTAAGGTATGAAATACCAAGTGTGATTCTGGGAATAACAATTATCACCAGAGTGAGAGAGAAGTAAAGATTCTGATATGGGACAAGGATAATGGAAATTGAACTGGGTGATAAGCATTTATATATAAAGATACAGATTAGGGCTATGCTCGATTCCAGGAAGGTCACTGAAGAATTTAATTAAGCTTGGTGTTACATATATATATTTAAAAAGAGAGACAGAAAAGAGTGCAAGGTGATTACATTACTCTAAAATATTTTAGTGTGAACTTCTTCCTCTCTTATTTAGTTTTTTGCATGTACAATCTTATGTACAATGCTATATTCAAAAATGTAAATGCAACTTAAGGAGCAGGAAAAATGTAAATAGTCTTAAGTGTGATAGTAATGCTTTATTTTGACTAGTCTGAGAGAATGCTTAGATTGCAGCCATGAAAATCTCTGAGCAGCAGCAGCTTCAAGTTGGGAGAACATCCAAGTATAGTTGGACTCTTTCCTAATGCTTTCAAGGTGGAAGCGAGTATTGGGGAGAAAAAGAGAGTTATCTCTCTGGAATGGCTCAACCCAGTGTGATGAAAAGAAAAAAAAAAAAGGAAAGTTAGCAGCATTCCCTTCAAACACTGAACTTTCCACAAAGGAAAGTTACTGTAGAATTAAGCCTGCAATGAGGGTAGAGACCCTCACTGTCACTGAGTATTGCTATGGGCACAGTTGCGAAGAGGCCTATGTGAAAAAGAAGAGTTACGGTTAATTTTCCAAGGACAAAAGGAGAGTTAAAAAGTAAGAATAAAACAGATTATACCAAAGCATTGCTTTCTACGTCTTTGACCAGATGACTGATTAACTTGTAAATGATCGACCCATTTTCTTTAGAACAAATCACAAGGAACACAGGAGCCTCCTTTTTCATTAGAAGGTCAGACTTACTCAGTTGAATTCGATCGTGGTCTAAATCTTTTGCCTCTGACTTTCTTTCTGTTGCCTCCTAGATTACCTGAAAAAGATGGGTTGATGATAGATGATTTAGGTAAGTAGGCATGTAAATAAATATTATTTTTTCAATCTGTTTGCTAGAGTTTTGAATTCAGAAGATCACTTTCCTCAATCAGATATGCATTTCAAAGCATCCTACAGCCATCTCTAGTTACATAGTGTGCCCTAGCTGTTAAATCCTCTTATATTTATCATTAATAAGAGTTATACTCCTATTCCAAGTAAAAACAGCCATATTACCATATTTCCTTTCCTCTGCCAGGCACACAGTAGGTGATTAATAAATGCTCCTTGATTGGTGATTTGTTGACCTTAATGGTCTTACAAGGGAAAATGAATGGAGAGAGAGATGCTAAAAGAAACAAGCCAGCCCAACTGAAAGGGAACTTGGGGTGGGCTCACAAAGAGATTTCAATTTTCCTCACCCTGCCATGAGTTACTTCGAGGTCTTCCATTTTCACAGATGTCTGAAATATGTTTTGTATCTGGAATCCTTTCACTCCAGGAATGGGAGAGTCCGTTTGACCTGAAATTGAAATAGGCATGTAATGTTTAACTCCCTTCTTACCTTTCTAAGTTTGAGATTAGTAAACAAAACTGCTTATATCATTATATAATACATAAAAGAAGCAATAACTAAATTAATAATCTGGGAAAATGAAAGAATGAAGATAAATAAAAAGTATTTCATGAAGAAGAGAATTGCACAAAAAATCAATTTAAGAAAAATCAAATACAAAGGAACCCCATTATAACATGGTTATTATTATTGTTGTTGTTGTTATTGTCGTTATTATTATCATCTCACCCAGGCTGGAAATGCAGTGACCACTCATAGGACCAATCCCAATAAATACTGATCAGTATGCAAGCTTTAACCTATTCCACTTCTAACCTGGGCCTCTTTGTCCCTCCTTAGGCAGCCTGGTAATCTCACTCCCAGGAACTCACCATATTGGTAAAGGACTTAATGAAGATACCTGCTCAGCTTTAGTCCTACTACTGCTCAGTACTCCCGAGCTCAAGCAAAACACCAACCTCAGCCTCCCCAGCAGCAGGGATCGCAGGCGTGTACGCCATCATGCCCAGCTAACATGGTTCATCGTTAAATAGACTTGGATATACAACTTCTGATTATGCTCATAACATGCAGCAAAAAGCTTGGTATAGTCCATTTGCTTATAACAGGTTAGTGCTGTTTACCAATACCAGGGTTATAAAGAGGTCCTGCTGTACTTGTTTCTTAAGTATAAGGCCATGATAGAGTTTGATTAAGATTTACTCAAGACAAATATGATTAAGCCATAAAGGTGATACTGTTGTTTCCTTAGAAAGTAAGTCAATTCTCCCCGCCCTCGATGAATGGAGTTTCCTGCACCAATATCATCTAAAAAGTCTACTGACTCATTAAATAAATGCCAACGAACTTGGTCAGACATGGACCATGGACACCTTTGTGGGCTGGCTCCGTTCACCACTTTACTACCATTTGCGTACTTGTGTCCCATCATCTTGAAATGGAATATCTATTAGAAACAAAATGGACAAGACCTACCTGGTAGAACACAAGAACCCCTTCATGACATTCTACACACCCAGTGGCACGGAGGAAGAGTCAAAATACTCAACATGCTTTTCCAAGCTGCTTAAGATTTGCAACCTTGGGCACTGAGGAAGTTCTGGGAACCATCCAAATGCTTTTTCAGGTCTTTCTGGTGACTGCTTTTGTGCTTTAGAAAATGGTGTCATGTTTCAAACATCATACATCATGATGGAAAATTGTTACAAATCTTCCCTTGAAAGGGAGACTTCTTATTGAACTATTTCTGATCAAGTAGTTAAATGGACATACCAGGCACGAATAAATTATTGGTTCTCTGAAGTTAAGATAACATTCTTCCCATTGTTGGCTAATTAAGTGGTGTCCTATTTGGGGCAACAATAACAGAAATACCACTGGAATCTACTCAACTCCCGCCATTTCTCTACTATGTTACTTAATTTACATCTGTTTTACAGAGAAAATATGTCTTTGCCATGGAAAACAGAAGCAGCCCAAATCCTTGTCTCCTTTAACTGTACCTGTCCCCTCTCTCAAAAAAAAAAGTCCCCAAAACAAAACAAAAAACAACCCAAAACAACAGTAACAACAAAAAAAATCCACAAAAAAACCCCACACTCTCTTTGCTCCCTTCTCAAATTCTACATTCCTGATGCATAAACTATATTTTCTCTTCTGGCTGTGGTAACTTATTATAATGAAGGATAACACTGAAATGAAAAAGCAGAGTTTCTGGGCACTTTTTAAAAGGTTTCCATACCTCACCAAACTTACTACTTTCATTGCTTATTCATACGTGTTTTTGATGAGTAAGATCTATTGTGGAAAAGAAACTGGGGAGAGACAGGGGAGGTGTTTTATAATATCAACAGTTTCAGAAGTGATCCCATTTGCTAACAGAAAGAAGATAATAAGGCTAGAGATCATAGAATTTTAAGTCCCTTCCAGCTTTAAAATTCTATCTATCACTCTACTTGCCTTCTTTCTGTCAGTAGAATAGCAATTGCCTTCACAATCCAAAATAACTACCATTTCAAAGGTAACACATAAGGTATTAATATATACATACATATGTATACTATTTCCTCCCTCCACTTCTCCTTCTCCCCATTACCAATTAATGAAAGTCTTCTATGGAGCAGTTTTCTTTCACTATGAAAATAGGCTCACAATTATACACATTTCCTAAAGCATTCCAGCAATTTCTGTTTTCCCTCATTTTACCCAGCTGGGTAATTATAAATCATGCAGAATTTTAAGAGCTATTTATGTATTTTATGAACTTGGAGCAAAAATATATCATCAAACTCTAAAGAACAGATGAATAATGCATCTACCCATACTGTATTGATATGAATGCTGGCAAACACACATCAAACCAGTTAAGCTAGCACTAAACTCAAAGTTGCATACGTCTAGGAAAGATCATTCCAGGAATAAAATGCAAAACTAGCAATCCTTAATGCAACATTCAAAAGCACATTTCATAACAATCAATCTTTGCTTCATGTCTAGCTTTGCTTTCAAAAACACAGCATAGTATTTAAAGAATTTTCTAAACAGCATTAATACTATAAGTTTATTTATTGCTTTTTATTGAAGCATGATAGTAACCTTTTTCTTTGACTACAAGACCATGATATGAAACCCACCATTTAAAATATCAGTGAACACCATCTTTTCTGGAGACATATGAGAAATAGATTGTTCAACACCCTCTTGGGTTGCTATGTACATAAAGCTGCTTTTCATTGATTTGATTTTTACTCATTAGATTACGAAAACAGGCAGTTTGGAGCATAGGGTACTTCGAGAGTACCCCCAGAACTCATGCATGTAATCAAAGAACAAGGGATACTATTTATAACATTCCAGAAAGAAGGAAGAAGTAATCAAACCTGCTGCAAAATAATGAAATGTTCTGACTAATGGAATAATGTGGGATGGAACAGGTAGAAATCTGAAAATGCGACAGAAAAGCAGACCTCTTCTTAGAACTAGATGCTGAGTTTGTGCTGACTCCCGGAGGCATGTCGCTATAAAAAGAATCGGCATCTCCAGGCTTTTTTACATAATCTCCCTGGGGTAATTGTCTAAAGCATAATAAACATTTTAAAGTCAGAAAACAAGACACACGTACACAGACATATACAAATATTAGTTCAGGAAAAAAAGAGGTAGGGCTAATGATCTATATGAATCAAGTCTATCATAACACACAAGATTATTACTAAAGGTGACAAATGAAAGTCATTCTCAAGGCAAGTATTTGAAAGGGCCACTAATGCCATGCTGAAATGGTTGGTTAAAACAGCCTTACACTCTTTCAAAAAGATGAAGTGCTCCGTTTTGGTAAGTAAGCCCCCATTATCTTCACAAATCTTAATTTCACCTTTATATTTAATAATTAATTCATTTCAAGTGAAAGGTTTTAGAGTAGAAAACCTTGGGGCAGCTTTACCATTGGGCTGAAGAAACTCATCTTCGTGATTCCCATATACTGAGAAAACCTTAAAAGAGGGGTTCTTAAGCCAGGGTCTATGACTTTGTTTGATTTTTAAAAACATATTTTGATAACTAGATTTCAACATAACTGGATTCCTTGGTAATTCTATGCATTTTATTTTATGCATTTGAAACATTATTCTGAGAAGAGGTTCAAAGGTTTCACCAAACTGCCAAAGGTGTCCATAACACAAAAAAGGTTAAGAACCCCTATCTTAAAATGAATGAATTACTCTCTCCCGCTTGTTCTATTATATGATACAACTATAGCCTTATTAGGGTTCTGTGTTCCTTTCTGGGCTTCACAATCTGCTTAAAAGAAAAGTGAATAAATGAAATATGATTCAGTGGAGAAACCAAAAAGTAACTAAATATTTGGAATATCAAATGTGTGAAGAAGGATAAAAAGTGGAATTATTTAACCTAAAGAAGAGATAGTTAAGGAATGGTTTAGCAACTTTCTACTGGAGTGGAGAAAGGGTATATAAGGATGGTGACAACAGTTTTCCATCTTCTCTGAGGATAGACAAAAACATGAAAAAATAAAATTTAAAATATACCAGATATGATTTAGATTAAGATAGATATATGAATTTCACCTCTCTGGGCCTCAGTTTCCTTATCTGTAAAAGGAACGCTAAAGATGAGATGACCTGCAAGGTCCCTTCCAGGTTCCAACAATAGGTAACATTCAACTCTAGACTAAATTGTAGACTGAAGACTGGAAGCATTCTCATTTGTTTTCTATGAGGTCTTTCTTAGAGAAAGAAGAGTAGATACCATAACTTTCAGCCTGAGATGCTTAATAACCACGTGATCTGAGCAAATCCCTTAATTTCTCTGAGCTTTGGTTTCCTCATCTGTAAAAGACAGGATTCAAATAGATGACCTCCAATGTCCCTTCTTGCTCCAAATCCATAATCCTATGATTCTATGATCCAATTTTAAGTTTTCATTATCCTTAGGTCATCTTGGGTGTTCGTAACTTTCACTCAACTCTTCATCTGTACCAAATGATCATTTGATCATTCCCAATGTGTAAGTGGGTTGAGAAGCATGACCACAACTTAACGTGGTTCAATTCTAATGCTGTTGTGAATCTAAAGTTGAAATTAGTATCAGGTTGGCTGTCTTACAAAGAATTGGATTTTAATTGCTCTCTATGCAGAGGTATAAATTAAGTGACTGCTTCTATCATTCTTTTTGCGTCATATTCGTAATGTTCTGCGCTAGGCTTTAAGAAAACATGTTGATGCTAAATTTTGATTTGTATTTGCCGTATTTGATTTGTGTTGAGTCCCACATTGTAATTAGATTTTTTAAAAAATCTTGTTCATTTGTTTTCTTTAATAATAACACGCCTTCTTCTGGGAATTATTTCAACATTGTCATATATGACTTGAGAAGCAATTTTAAACTAAAGGTCAAAAAAATCTCTCTTCTGAGTTGTAGAATTTCAG